TATATATATATATATATATATATATATATATATATATATATATATATATATATATATATATATATATATATATATATATATATATATATATATATATATATATATATATATATATATATATATATATATATATATATATATATATATATATATATATATATATATATATATATTGAATTAACGAAAAGGAAAAACAGGTTTTGTGTTGTAATTTTTAATAATATTGTAGAAAAAAATATTTTTTAATAATAGTGTAGAAACGATAGTACACCATAGTATAACATAGTACACCATACTATACTATAGTATTTTTGAAATATGCTGAATTATTTAACAAAAAGAAAAAAAGAATCGTAATTTTCAAAAAAATTGATTATAATAATATAAAAAATACCATAGTATAACATAGTACACCATAGTATACTTTAGTATTTTTGAAATCTGCTGAATTAATCGTACTTTTCAAAAAAAATGTTATAAATAAGAAAAAAAATTGTTTATAATAATATAAAAAATGCAAAGTGTAAATTGAAAAAAATAAAGATGAGTGAAAGGGCATTTTCGGAATGAATTTAATAAAGGATGTGAAGCAAATGTTTAGTTGAGCTTGTCATTTAGTTCTAATTAGTTTTGTCACTAGGGACCTATATCTTAAGACCCCTATTTTTAATTGTATAATAGATTCACATTAAAAATAATTAAACGACAACGTTTAGTGATGTTTGTAATTGCGCAGTTGAATTCAATTTTGTCGTCTACTAAGAGTTGGTATTCAATTACGTTTGAAAATAGTTAATTTTTCTTTGATTCAAATGTCATGACCTAAGTCATGATTCATTTTTGATTAATTTAAAGAAGAAGCTAACAAGTCTTTGTTATATTATATTTTCCCATTATATTATTTTACGACAACAAATAATATATATATGGAGCTATTGGCATAGACCCCCTGTGTTATTCTGAAAGTACAAAAAACCCCTTCTAATTAAAAAAAAATACCATATATATAACCCCATATGTTGTGTTTTATTTTCATACGGCCCCTTATATCAAACTTAGTTGTTGACTTAGATGAGAAGGACAAAATTATCCCTCTATTTTTAATAATATTTCAATTTAGAAAATAAATATAAAATATAAATAAACCAGAAAAAATATTATCTCCAAATCAGAAAAAAAAAAATTTAATAATATTTTTAGTTTAAAGGATATTTAGGTCTTTTATAGGAAAAAATACATTCCCCGTCATAGATAAGACGAGTGTCAACAAATACATTCCCCGTCATAAATTTTTGCTAATTTTTCTAATGCTAATTTTTCTAACGCAAGATTTCTTTTTGATAATTAAAGATTACACAAAGGTTGCAAGTATTAAAATATCGATATAAGTTATAAATTGTAGATCGTTGCACAATTATACATTTTATCGGGACCTAAAAATAATTATTAGACATGTATTTTAATGTCACTGTCTAAATCACGAATTAATGATATTCCTCATAATTAGTTGAAGGAAGTTGTACCTAGGAAGAGTAGTATCTAGTTGCAAACGGAATATTTATCCAGTCTACAGAAACGGAAAATGGAATAAGTTTGACTTTTAAAATTTAGAGGTTATTGCATTTGGGTATCTTATATGTTAAATATTCCACTTTGCACCATTGAAATGTAGCATTTTGATAGTTTGCACCCCCTAAAAAAATTAATAGCACTTTGCATTATTGAAACCCGTGAAAAACCGCCCCGTTGGGACCGGACGGGTAGATCCATCCATAGGATTGGGTCATAATATGGTGTAGAACAGTGGGTTTGGGTCTTAGACGGGTTCAATATTTTTTAATACCCGTGAAACCCGTCCCGCCCCGCCATACAAAGCGACGTCGTTTTGTTTACATTATATAGTATAAGAAATTAATAATATTAATGAATAAATAAAGTATCTCTAGTGTATCAAATACATAAATCAACTAAACTATAATTGTGGAAGTAATAGCTATAAAGATTATGAAACTCTCTAAGAAAATGTAGGAAAACATATATATACAACGGTCAACACACGGCAGAAAAAAAAAAGGAAAAAAATGGTGTTGAATGGAGCTGAATAGCGTTTGTTATGCTCGAAAAAGCTATATTTATTTTATTAAATTTTGTCTTTTAAGTTATGAATTAGTTATTTTTAGTTTTATAATAATTTTTATTTACTCTTGACATTTACATTATTTATGTTTGGTTTCAATTTAAAATTTTAGGTTATTCATTTTAGTTTCTAATTATTCTCCCGTAAAACTTATAAATTATATATAAAAAAAAATAGTTTAGACGATAACGGGTTTCGACCCGTAAATGTTGGGTCCTACTACAAACCCGCCATGGACCCGCCTATCGTAAACCCGTTAAAAACCCACAAGTTTGGTTCTTCAAAATCAAGAACCGTTGTTTGACGGGACGAGGGCGGGTTTTGATAGAACCCGCGGGTTTATGGCCCGCGCACACCCCTACTTGAAACACAATAAATTATTCACAATTCACCCTGAATTAAGCTCTTATAACTTAATTAGACAATTTCATTTTTTGTTGATTTTTTTAGGGTGCAAATTAACAAATTAAATTGTTATTTCCTTCCATCTTTCAACCTAATTTTGAATGTACAAAGTGTCACTAAAAATATTGAGCTGCTTATAAACTATATTTTTTGACAAAAGAAAAATTATAAGTCTTTCTCACTAAATTATTCGATTGGTGGATCTTTTGTGAAAATATATGGTAGAACTTTGTAAGAAAATATTATTTTCAAATAACTCGATAATAAAGTAGCACTGGATTTTTTTTCGTTGGTAAAATATGTTTTTGTGATAAAAAATTATAATTTTTAAATATGTTGATGAGATGCATTTGTAGTTTCGAAATTAAATTGATAAATATAAAATTGATTTTATTGTATAAACGACTGAAAACAATATTTATGAAATTATAATATATGTTCAATTATTTTTTACATATAATTAATTTTGAATAATTACAAAATAATGAAATAAACTGTATTTATATAATTAAAAAAACAACTCTTTATTATAATTTTTTATAATTAAATTAGTTCTAGTATTTTCGATTAAAAATTTTAAATAAAGAAATAAATAATATTTGTGAATAAAATATAATGTAATTATTCCTAGAAAACCTCCTATAGTATTTTTGTCATTTCATATTTTTAATAGACTTATCGAACTTAATTTCATTAGGACGATTGTAAAAAAAATGGTTATTTGAGGACCAATTGTGCCATAAAAAAATTAAGGACTAAAATTGAAAAGGATGTATAATATAAGGACCAAAACTGTGATTGTGCCTTTTTTGAGTACACATCTCTCTATTAAACAAAAAATAAATTATTTATTAAAATAAAATAATGCTAAGAAAAAACAATGAAATATAGCAATTTTTATTTTTAAATTAAAATTTTAAAACGTGAGCAATTGTAACTAATTGGTTTACTTTCTTCCCAATTTGCCTCTTGGTAGATGATGATATAATAATCTAATTTGAACAATTATGGCTGCTCATGAAATTGACCAAATTCAATATCTGAATATCAAGAAAATAAATCTGCAAATAGTTATTAAATTATTTTATTTTAACTAATTCCTGATTGTCGATTATGTGTAGTGGTGGTGCATTACATTATATTATTTAAGTTGTTGGTGTGCTATCAAACAATAATTTAAGATTGGAAATATTTATGTATTATTTCAATTTAACAATTAGGTCGATTT